GAGCGTGGGTCTGAAATGCCCCTTCTAGGGGCGGGAGGGCGGGACAGGTATTCCCGGTGCGCGCCCCCCCCCCCCCGGTTACGATCCTGCCTGGGTGCTGGGCTGAGGGGCGGCGCTGGGCGGATCCTCGGCGTGAAAAATCCTCCTCCCTGTGAGGAGGTTTTGGGTGCTCAGCTGAAATCACGCTGCCTTGTTCAGGTGCTTGCACCCTGCCCTTCACCGTGGTGTCTAAGGCCTGGTCTGCACCAGGAAATTAAGTCTGCTTAACTGCATCGCTGGGGGTGTGAAAAATCTGCCTTTCTGAGTGGCATAGTTAAGCCAGGCTAAATCCCTGTCTCGAGAGCAGTAGGTTAACAGAGCAATGCTTGCATCCATCTAGTTACTGCCTCTCTGGGAGGATTAGCTACGCCAACAGGAGAACCCCTCCTGTTGGCATAGGTAGGGTCCGACTCTACACAGAAGCACTGCAGCTGTGCAGCTGTCACCTTTCAAGTGTAGACAAGTCCTCAGTGTTTGTCTCTCTCTCTTATGGGAGCGTTAAGAGTATGTTATAGGCGTTGCGTTTCACAGCTACGTAATCGTTAAAACCGTTGTTAGTCTGAGGGCTGGCCCTTTCTGGCTATGTGTGCAGTGCCCCAATTCCCACTAACTTTACGAGAGTGGGTCCTTACTTGTGAGCCCAATCCTGGAATCTGTTCCATGGAGGCACGATGAAGCTCTGTGCATCCATATGAAGCAGGTTGGAGGAGAGGGGGTTGGTGTATAATGGAGAAAGAGGGATATCAGTGGAAAATGTTGTAGGCAATTGGGATTAAATTCAGTTCTAGTGTAAACAAGCACAGCTGCCATTGTAGACGATGACTTCAAGTGATTTATGCTAAGGCCAAACTTATTCTTCTGTTTTCTAGGTGATTTATCAGGTTCAGAGCAGCTTACAGAGTAAATGATCTCAACCAGCTGCCCCCTCCCTCCTGAATACTGGCCTTTGGAAAAACTTTTATTTTTACTTTCTTAGTTCACTCTGGTTTTTAGAAATACAATCCCATCTCTTCCATCATATGTATTCCTCACTGGGAGAAATAAGTACCATGCAAAGAGCCCCATGTGCAACATGCTCAAATGTCGAGGGAGGGATTATAGATGGGTGTATAATATGACACATACTCTGGTCATCATCCTGCTTTTGAAATCAAGAGGGAACTTTTCTGTAGACTGCAGTGGGAACAGGATTGAGATTTAATTTCATATTTCGGTCTGTATCCTGAACAGTGTAGCCTGCTGTGTAGATGCAGCATTCTGCCCATGTTCCCCATAGGGCACGAACAGGGCCACAAATTTAAATGCTGTTAAAATCTTAGAGTTAGTACTAATATGTAGTACTGCTCATATGCAAACTCTTTATGAGGGTTGATTGATTAAGATATGTTGACGAGAATATTCCTATTCTCTCCACTTACCCCCTACACCCCAAAAAAGGGGCAGGGGAGAAACATGACAAAGACCAATACGTATTTTGGTACATTTCCAAGTATAAACAAAACTTCAGATATTGAGATGGAGTGTGTGTGCAATTGTTTATACTACAATAGCATCTGGAGGTCTTAGCAAATATATGGAGATATACCTATCTCATAGAACTGGAAGGGACCCTGAAAGGTCATTGAGTCCAATCCACTGCCTTCACTAGCAGGACCAAGTACTGATTTTGCCCCAGATCTCTAAGTGGCCCCGTCAAGGATTGAACTCACAGTTCTGGGTTTAACAGGCCAATGCTCAAACCACTGAGCTATCCTCTCCCCCAAAGATCAATGCTCCATTGTGCTAGGTGCTCTACAGACAAACAGAGATGGTTCTTCCCCAAAGAATTTGCAATCTAAACAGACAAGATGGACAAAGTGTGGGAGAGACATTATTATTCCCGTTTTACAGAGTGGGGAATAGACACAGAGTGATTAAGGCTCAGATGGTGCAGTGAGCGCTGTATAACCCACATGGAGCCCTGCTAATTTCAGTGGGGATCTGCATTCTTGGTGTCTGCTCATGGCGAGATTATTGCATGGTTGGGGTCTTTTATGTAATTTGCCTAGGTCATTCAGGGAGCTGAGAATTGAATCCCGGTCTCCTGAGTCCCAACCCAGTGCCTTGGTCCTAGTTCATGTATACATTCTACTTATTAAAGGGAGAGAGTGCTGTCTACTGGTTAGAGCAGGGACCTGAGAGGTGGAACTCCTGCGTTTTCTTCCTGTTTTTGCCAATAACTTAACCTGTGGCATTGGGCAATTCACTTTATATTTCTGTCTCAGTTCCCCCATCTGTAAAAACGGAGATGCCATCCTCTGTAAGATAAGCAGGTGTCATTATGGTTGGCTAATGCTCATAGGCTGAACATTCTGTGTAAGTTAAAAATGGCTGTTAGTGTGTAAACCAGGCCTGTCTTACTTTGTTTAATCCTTTTGTCCCCCAAAATCACCCTATTTGTAGTCTAAATGGCGGATGAAGAGGAAAGTTCTTCTGCTGAACGCACAGAGGAAAGTGATGCTTCTGTTAGTGGAAATCTTGGATACAAGCAGAGTGGGGGGAAATAATTCTAGAGCAGCAACCCCCTGTTCATTACGATTAACTTACTATTTATACTGTAGTAGTATGTGGAAGCCTCCCAGCAGGGAACAGGCCCCATTGTGTTGGGTGCTGTACACAAATGTAACAGCAAAATAGATTATGTGGGGCAGGAATTAAACTGCTGTGTAATAAACTGAGTATCAGTGCTGCATTCTGTAACACTGCTGCACTGTTGTATGGCTTAAGATCCCCAGTGTTGTGTGAAGTAGTTACTTAACATAAGGAAAAACAAATAACACATGGCTTGAATTGGGGGGCCAGATTCTCAGCTGGTATAATTCAGTATGGTTCCCACTAATGTTCAAAGAAATACGCTGATTTATGCCAGCTGAGAATGTGGCCCTCAGAGCCCAACCCTGAGAGGTGCTGGGGACCTACATCTCCTGTGGAAGTCAGTGGAGAGCCATGCAGACTGCACCAGATAAGGATCCGGCCTTTTATTTTGGCCTCACCTCCCCCCCCCCCCCCAATACAAAATTTAAAACCTGGAGGTGGGAAGGGACTTGTAGAATTCTGTCACATAGCTGCTGTCTGCCAAACATAGCTGATGTCTGCTAAATAGTATGTTTTCCATAGGGTGGATCTCTCCCTACCTGCCTTGGGAAGTGGGGTAGGGGTGTGCATACATATGTAATATAGTAGTAGTAACTGCTCCAAACTTTTGTAAGTAACACTGGCTTTTGCTCTCCCACGCCTTGGTGGAAAGCCCCGGCTCAGATGAAGATCTGCTTATTTCTGATCATCTGGGATGTCATCAAGAATGGAAAATGTGACAGGAAGGAAGGGAGGCTTTTTTTCTCCTGCTAAATATGGAGTGACAATAAAATCTGGGAATAGCAGAAATCGGTGTGAAAAGAATCCTGGCCCATTTTAATCTTGCTTCTCTTTTAACTAGATCCCAGTGGTTCTTTTGTAAGGTGGGAGGGGAGGGGATGGGAGGGGGGGGGAAGGGGAGTGAAGGAGGGCCCTATACTTTGCTCACCACTCTGCTGTGAGGTTGTTGGGTTTTTTTTGTTTGTTCCGAACTGGAAGATGCTAACCCTGCTATGGGCCTCCAGAGCTTAATTCAGTGCTGTCCTACAGGCTGAGTGCTCTTCCAGTTTTGAAATCGTTGTTTGTTAGAAATTAACCACCTCTCTCTTGCTGTCTGCTGTTGATGAATAGTTTGCTGAGAGCATTCAGGAAGCTACGGAAACATTTTTGGGTTTTCTCTTCTGTTTGTTTGGGGATTTCTAGAAGAGAAAGAATAATGGTAGAGAGGGTGGCATGCATGTTAGCTAGAACCTGCAATGCTTAGTGCTACAGAACAATCTGATAGATATGTAAAAGCAATGTTGTCCTTCCTGCACAGAAGTTTTTGTTCTGCTCTTTGTGTGTTAGCCAAAATGTTATTTTTTTTAAATGTTTAACTGCAGATCAACAAGCGCTGCCTTGATCCCAGCTCTGTGAATGGGACAAAGGGGATTAAGAATTAAACATGCAACCCAACTGCAGCTCCTCTTTTCCTTTTTAATTTTATTTGCAATTGCTCCAGCATACTCATAGCAATCTAGGTGCCTTTTTAGTGGTCTTTGCGGCCAGTGTGATGAGCAGCCATGTTTGTTCATTTCCTTCTGTCTTCTAAGCACGTTTTCCAGGGTCACTTGTGTGTACTCTCCACAAGGAGGATTTAATTATTTCCAGCCAGCATCGGAACCAAGCTGTTATCATTCTCTCCATACTGCATGGGATACCTGTGAATTGTGCAATATAAGATCAAATTTCCAAGGCTGTGGGGGGAGAAGGGACATAAGGGCAGGGTATCAGTATTTCTGTGCAGGCCTATTCTCCCTACCTCTTCTCTCTCCCCCCGCCTCTTTCTCAGGGATACCAAGATTTTTATTTATTATTTTTTTTTTTTTGTGGGCCACCAATGGAAGGAGGAAACCCATTTGGTTTCTATCTATAAAAGCCTCTATTTAAATACAGGGTGGATGCACTTCCAGGTGTGGCCTTTATATTATCCACCATGCTGATATTTAATGACTACATTCTATGCTGCTTTTGGCAGGTGTGGAACCCTCCTTTTCCCT